ACTAGAGATTCCAAAAAGAGGAAAACTAGAGATCCTGTGTCTTGAACTTCACTACCTACCATTCTTACTTCTCACAGGGGTAAAACCAAGCTGGAGCAATCAAGAATGCAGCTCTGGTGCTTTTTAACCAGGTAGAGCAACGTGTCACCACTTTCACACAGGTTACCTAAGCAAGTTATACATATATATGTATATATATATAATCACTTTTTAATGGATTTTGACTGGCCTGCATGCTATTCAGCTATGTACCTTCCCTATCCATTGCAAGACAGTAGAAACATGCACAGCTGCTCTTTGCTGAGTCACGGGACTCACATCACAGCATGGTCAGGTGGGATTGGCAACCCCGACATACATTTTTTAACTCTGCTAATGATTTTTCTGGATATAATAATAATATAATGCAATAACTGCATGCTCTACAGGTTTTGAAGTATGGATCATAGAAGTACTGGAATGTTGTTATACGTTAAAGAGGCCAAAGAAAAAGGGAGCATGCATAGTTTTTAAAAAGTAAAAACAACCCTTTTTGATTCAGCCCTTATAAATGGAAATATTTGATGAAGTGTGTTAAGTGATTTATGTAATGATTACTGCCACAACTTCAGCTCCTTAATGAATACCATTTAAAGTACTGCAGTAGCTACTTGCATAAAAATTACGCTGTTATACGTTTAAATCGACAATGCACTGTAATGCAAATCTTCAAGACGCTACAAACTACTTCCTGTATTCATTTGGGCAGTGCATATCTTGAGTTTCATAAACTGTAAGCAGAGCAAACAGTTTCATAATTGCTAAAATTATACTTAGCCAATAACCCCCCTTAAACTCTCAAAGCAAAGTATTTTACAAATACTCTTTTCTTAAACTTTAAACTCCTTCATAGGTAGTGGTGTTTTGGAATGTGTTTCATGATAGCAGTCTGTGACTGAGTTGGGGGTCTTTACTTGGTATAAATTAGAAGGAATAGTAAATTAGAAATGGAGTAGTCAGCATCATTTGTATAAATTCCATGCATATTTACCCTAGGTTTTTTTTCATTATAGGCAAGTGTAATCTCCACTGATGAATAATTGGCATAGCATTCAGGAATAGGGACAAAAAATATTGCACAGGAGCTAAAGTTACATGAAACTAAGGTGGTCATATTATCCTAGTAAAACTAGGTGTCAAAATTTTGTTGGGATTGAGATTTCAGTCCTATAGCAGGATTCAAAGCTGTTTCCTTCAGGCAGAGTCTTACTGGTTTCAAAAGGATAACCAAATGGTTCATTTTACCTATATTATATCGTAGTATATTGTCCAGAGATGCCAAAAGAAATTTGTACGGAATTCTGAAAATTCTCAGATTTTACTGATTAAATTTTAAACCAAGATATGCTTCAAACATCAAATAAAACTCTAAGGAAAGAGATTTTTAAAGTGGTTTTCTTAATATTATATAAAAGTCAAATATCATAAGATCTGAGATTTAAAGTCAGTTTAGAATCAGTTTGGAATCATTGACCCCCATTTTACTTTGTCACTCAATTACAGTGCAGCTTTCAAGATTCAAAGGATAAAACCACATGGCTGAATTACTTAAGGCAATTTGTAATGGCTGAATCCCTTTATTTTATTGTCACTTGAATCATGAAGCCGTTTGTAAAGCTTAAAATTTTGGTAGCCTGCTCTTGCTCTTATTGAAGTCTAGAATAAAATCAAATGAGAGCAAGACCAGGTCTTAAGTGAATGCATTTTCTTGTAAACGGGCACATTAACATGCTGTTGGTCAAAGCTTGTTTTAATGATCTAAGCTGTTGAAAAGAGATGCACTGCTCTGTAAGGACAGTATGGAGGCTGATTATACATATATTAACCAAGTATTTGGGTTGGTGATGAAGCATTTTTTTATGTTATATCCTATACAATAATAACACTATTTTCAGAAAAATATAATCCCATTGAGGTAGTCTTATTTTTTTTTTTTTTATTTTTGTGTGTGATTTCCACAGTATTGCTCAGGCTTCTGCTCTAGTCAAGCATGTTGTTTTGCTGATTCAGGCCTTGAGAATGCTGCATCATAAGCAATTGCTTTGTATCCTTGTAAAGGAAAATGTGATATTGCTGAAGATGCAAATAAGTATTTACAGGGCATGGCGTGTTCTAGAGGCTGATAATCACATTTATGAGGTGAAAAGAAGATTGTGTTAATCCATCATGTATCTTGAGTTTCCTATTAGTTTTATTAGTTTTATTGCTAGAAAAAAAAGATCATTAACGTCACCTTATTTGATATGCAACGGTTCTTTCCTAATTTAGTGTCTTGAAGCAAAGAAGAGGAGTTTTATTAACTTAATGAGGTTTTTTTATAATGCAATTGTTTGAGATTATTTGAAAAATAATGAAGAAAATGCTTTATATGAAAATTAATGGAGAGAATTATAGTAGGTTTTGTTTGTATTGACTATAAATTGCACTTCTGACACTTGGGTTTTGGCAACTATGCTGACAGGACTATCTGCAACAGAGTTTATATGGGAAGATGCAGTTAAAAAATTGACTGCCTTTTAATTGGCACTCATATAGATTAGTAATTGATGTTTACTATGAACCTTTATCTTGCTGCTACAAAGTCAGTAACTGATTTCATGACGATGGATCAGGCTATGAATTAGTTTTAATTTTCCTAACTTGAATGTGACAGATTATTATTTTCACAATATTTGCATTTTATTTAATGAAGAAACTGCCTATAATTTCAGTGACAGGTTTCAGACTTATTTCTTTGTATTACAATGATATATAATAAAAAAGTTAATTCACAAACCTTACTTCCTTTTTAAAAGAGAGCCTTATGTGTAGATAATAAAGTGGTGTGCTAATTATGCTTACTAGAGTGTACAATAATGTGCATTTTGATCTGCAAATGTAATACAGAAAGCAAAGTTTAAAATATTCTCACTATATGAGGTACACAATATTTTATTTCAGATTTACTGATCTACATGACCGGTAATAAAATTATTCCATTAGAGGCAATACGGCTGTAACTATTTTACGTATATAGATTTCGAAAATTATAGAGGGAGTGCAGTATGAACAAGGAAACTTGATATTTTAACATGTTTAGTAAGCAAAAATTAACAATTGGGAACATCCAAATCTCAATGTGTTTATCTAAGTAGTTTCACATTTGTCAGCATGATTTTCCATGTATGACAGATCATGATATTTAAAAAGAGAAAGAATGGTTTTCAAACTTATACCTGTGTGCTTGTCAGAAATCTTTCGTATTATGTGACAAGTCCTTTACTTTTGGTCACAATGCAGTAACAGCCATGCAACCTGAGGTCTGAGTGACCCTATATTGACTACATTTGCACGTCTGTGTGAAGGACAGCTTCTTGAAACTTAACCCTGAAATTATCAATCACCCAACATGAATTTTCTTTTTTTTTGAACTTCATTCATCTCATATAAGAGTTGAATGTGAGGAAAGAATTACTTACCAAACTATATAAAGAGATATGTACCATTTATTTCACTTCTGGCAGAAAAAAGCCCTCAGCTCCCAGTGCATTTTCCTGAAGGGGCTGGGTTTTAACTGAAGAGTTAAATAACTAGTTTTAATTTGCAGCAGTCTCTCTGAAGAAGAGAATTAATGGAAATACCTCTTTAAGAAGTTACTGTTCATTATTATTTGCAAAATCATTCAAATCATCTGAACAGTATTTTTTTTTCATATTCTAAAAATGTCACTACCTTGAAAACTAAATGTGAAAAGTAATTGGTATTAAGCATTCTCTCAAAAAAATTATATAAAAAGGTCTTCATATAGGTCAAAGGGCATGTCAGATCTGCTTAGCTGAAACCACAAATCTAGCCTGTGACCAAATACCCTTTTGTTACATCAGTGCCTGTACAATTTAAAGTATTTAAGTTAGAGGTGCATTCTAGATCCCCCTCAAAATGCCTATGTACTACTTACTGCTAGATGGTATAAAACAGAAGTATTTCACTGCCATGCTTTTTTTAATGTGGCTTTCTGATTACAAGTCTTATTTCACAGTAAAAGACAATGTATTTTGGATGAAAGCAATTCAAGGTGCAAACAGTATTGACAACTGAAAACAAATTACAAATTCTATGTCCAGTTATTGCATTAGTTGTGTGCATCTTTAGCAGGTTTGTCCTTTCAAAATATGTGTTCTTAAAAGGGCAAAATTATGGGCAGTCTTGCATGACTGACAAACAGCTTGACCTGATCCAAATTTCAGTATACTTGGTAAAAAGTTACTTAAGTTCAGTTGCTTTATATCACTCTCCAGTTCTTGCACTTTTCAGATCTAGAAGTGCTTTTACCGTAGTAAGGACTATAGTATTTCACTGTACACAAGAGTAGTAGAATGACAGAAATATTCAGGATGGAAAGGACCTCAGGAGATCTCTCAATATGTAGAGACTGGAATGCAAAGAAGATATTTGGAATCTGTTAATTTGTGCTTTCTGCAAAAATTAACTTGTGCAGAAATTTGCCATTAAATGCCATTAAATTTACAACTTTTTAATCCAGATATGGTGTATGTTTGTGAAAACACCATCTGTAGTGGACATGAAGATATATGTGGAGTTTTCTGTTAGTTCATTTCACTGGGAAAACTAAGACACATTTTCAGTGTAATCCAGTATAGTAAAGAAAATGAAATAACTCGAGAGTGTGGTACATGCAAGCTCTCCAGTTTTAATACTACTGAGAATACTTCAGAAGTCTTATACGTGGACCAGGTTAGTAGCCACATTATATTTAATTGTTACCTATGAGAAGATAAACTGGGAAACAGAACTATACAATCTAAATGCCATTAGTATGTTTTTACTTATGGTGATGCAGATTTATCAGTATAAAAGTAGCGTTCTTCAAAAGTCAGAGACTGGCATGATTTGATTCAGTGTCATTTTTTACAGAATATGTATCTAATGAGAAAAAATTGTTCTGTGGACTTTACTTACAGAAACTAAATGCATCCAGTTCATCAGAAGGCAGCACAGTTGATATTGCTCCTCCTGGAGAGGGCGAGCAAGCAGAAATTGAAAGTGAAGAAGCTCTTGAACCAGAAGCCTGTTTTACGGAAGGTTGTAGAATAACTGTTGACTTAAGAGATGTATTGGTAAAATGGCATTTTTACTAGGCATATTTAAGTTCTTGAGACTTTCAAATCTGGTGGACCTTCATGACCTCAACAATCAAAAGAAAATACTCTTAGCCTAGTATGCTGGAAATTAGGTGCCAAAAAAATGTTTCCCTAGGCTTTCAGTAACTTTATCTGCTTGGCCACAGCATACAGATTGTAACTAAGAAACTTGATTAACTTTTCTATTCTTAAAGTGCTTTTCAGTTATTTGAAAGGGCCCTTGAAATTTGGAACAAATTAATTTTTGTGGGACTCCATCAACAAATGCAAGTTACACACTAACAGTCAAAAATATCAATGTTTTTTGTATTGAGTTTACTCATAATTATGTCTACTATTGTCTGGTTTCTCTCCAAATTACTTCTGTAAATTCAGATATTCAGCAACCTATAGAAGAGGATTCCAGTGTTTAATTTTAAAAAATTGTTATCATTTTTTTTAAAGCTTCTAACAATGTTGATACCACAGTAAATATTGACTTTGAAATAATTTGCTTTTGGATCCTAACATCTCTTAATCTAATGCAGGTTGTGTGAAGAAATTTCCATGTTGTCAAGTAAGTATAGAGGACGGCAAAGGAAAAATTTGGTGGAATCTTAGAAAAACCTGCTACAGCATAGTTGAGCACAACTGGTTTGAGACTTTCATTGTCTTCATGATTCTCCTCAGCAGTGGAGCACTAGTAAGTAGAAAAAAAATTGCAGATGCTGAAATATTTAGACATCTCCTTGGAAGCAACAGCAAAATTCAAATTTGCTCAGAAAGACTTGTTTTGCTTGGAGCTGTATAAAACTACCTGCATTCCATCATTTCAGTATGGAATGAAACTTGGCCCAAACTTGAAAAAGTATGCTGAATTTTACATGCACTTTTTTAGTGATAACTTTTGGTTTACCACTGTAAAGATGGCACAATTTTATTTAAGCCAGCATTGCTGCTCAAGATTCAAATTGCCTGCCAATTTTCAGCATGTTCGTCAAGAGATTTGAGTACAAAGGACCGTTGTTAACTGTGAATATATAGCTAAATGTATCATTTTAAGTCCTTAATTCATTCATTCTAGGCTCAGCCACTTCATGGCTTCTGCTTACGAAAGACCATACAAAAAACTGAATAATTACTTCATTCCGTGCTTTTTTTGGAGGCAGGAGGTAGGGAAGATTGTGACAGAAAATTAAACCTAACAACCACTTTACAACAAGATTACGTTACCCACCTTTCCAGCTTTACTCAAGTTGAACATTTGCTACAGTATCAATGTGCGTAGTGTACATTCTAGCAAATACATTGCTCTTTAATTTGGCTTTTAGATGTAAGTTTGATTGATGTAACATAGAAATGTAATCTCCCTAACTGCTTTCTAGAATGGAATATACATACCTGGAGCAGATTTTGTATAAGAAAGGGTTTTTTTTCTGTGTGTATGTGAAAGTTTCTTAATACTGCAGCAAACAAAAATCCATGCTTTGAGTTTATTTCTTCCTTCATTAGGAAAATAGGACATATATAGATACATACATATATATATATATATTCAACCCCAGATAGGGCAGAATACATAAAGTTGTTCCAATTTGTAGTATGGTTAAAGATGAGAAATATGTAAAATAAGAAGATGCAGAAGAAAAAGGGGAAAAATTAGCTCTGACCTACTTATTTTTTATTATTTACTCCTTATTTTTATCATGTATGTTCTGTGAAACATTAGTAATACTTGAATATATTTTTTCATAGGCTTTTGAAGATATATATATTGAACAGCGCAAAACTATCAAGACCATGTTGGAATATGCTGACAAAGTTTTTACATATATTTTCATTTTGGAAATGCTTTTAAAATGGGTGGCTTATGGTTTTCAAATATATTTTACTAATGCCTGGTGCTGGCTGGACTTCCTGATTGTTGATGTAAGTACAGTCTTTAATATTGTAAAATTCACTATAGTAAAGTCCATTATGTTGTAAAACTCATTATTACTAAGTAATCTTCTTATAAACATGCAAAATTCATTCACATTGTATAGTTATACTGCATTAGTAATAGCCTGCAGTGATCTGGATGTGTTATTTAAAGTACATTTATATGCCAGAAGGAAAAGGATGGCTGGCCATCAGTTTGTTCATTCTTCATGGTTAATCATTTTGTTGCTGGGATGTATCAAACTTGAGATTTTATGAGGAAAAAAAAATATTTAGAAACATGCTATTTTTAATGGACTCTGATCATACTACCTTATTCCTTAGCAAATAATACACTACATAGTGCAAGTGTCTTCTACAAACATTGCAGCTTTGCAAGTGAAACAGTACATTTGGTCCAGATTTCATCTGAGTTCTCAGAACTTTGTCGCCCAAAACTATCTTGTTATCATTTTTAGTAAAACAGAAAGACAGTGGCTCTTTGGTCTAAAAATTAATTAGCTTTAATGGGCTGACAATCTGCAATAGTTAAATCAGCTATGACTTGGCAGGGTTTATGATAGAAGAGAATACAAGGTTTCTTGGCTGCCTTCCCAGCTGTGATACACTTCTGTGCAAAGGCCTTGCTTATGTTGTCAGAAGGGATCAAAGCTGGTTTTACTCCCAGAATATTTTGGTCTCTTGCCTTCACACATTATCTGACCCAGTTCATTGGCTATACATGTCCTCAGTGTGGAACTGAGAGGTGGTATCTCAGGGCAAATGTACATTCACAGTAATTTCTCCCCAAGCTACTGTATTTCTTGAGAAGTTTGCATAAATCCTTATCCCATAAATACTTATACCTTATGAATATATGATAGAAATGTATCGGATTTGTGACACCCAGAGGAAAATAAGCCTAGCTAGATTGGCCCACAACTCAAAATGGGAGACCTCTTTTTTTTAATCTGCCCAAGTTAGTTTTGTTATACTGTTAATCTCTAGCTCTGTCCTGAAAATCTACACTAGAATGGAGCAGTGTGAATGGTTTTCTTAAGAGGATGTTAATGCGGAAGACAGATGCTCCCTTTCAGGATTCTTATTAAGAATTATTTTTTTTTCTTAGATAAACTACAACCCATGTTTTAATTATTCTTTTTGTAACATAAACCTAAACAGATTATTCTAAGCCATACTCCATGGTTTCTTAATAATAATTTAGCCTCAGAGATGCTGTTATCTGAGCAGGCTCTCAGAATTATAAAGAACATCATCATAAATAAAGCAGCTTATTTTGCCAAATTTTTACTCATAAGTTTTAATTTTATAAACAAAAACATGACTAAATGAGATTGGAACCTTCTACTTTTGAAGAATTATATTCAGTGTTCCAGAAAGTGGTAAAAAATGTCTTAGTGTGCCTAAAGCTAATTCAGCAATTCCTTAAGCACCACCAGACAGCACTTGAAAGAAACATATGAACTCATGTTATCTCCCTATAGAAAAGCAGAATCCACACTGCTTTAACAGGCAGTTTAAAGAGGTGTGATTCAGTGGCATTGGCCCAGTGAGAATACCAACGGGTGAGCCCTTCTTCATTAGAAGTGATTAAAGTTAATCAAATTGTTTGATTCCATCCTCTGAAATTATTCAGGAGTAAACACTGATAGTCCTTTAGGGCTTTGACCTTTAATATCTTACATACCTGTCTCTCACTGTGAGAAATAGCCATAGTTGCTCTCAGTGATTGTGACCAAATTAGATTTTAATAATTACACAAAGAAATGGCAATTTTCAGCTCTGGCAGTTTACAGCCATGACAGATGACTCTTGGTACATCAGGCTAGCTCAGTTTAAGACGTTATCATGCCATCTTTCCACCCTACTCTTCTGCTGGATGCAACAATACCTGTAGCAAGGAGAAGATATTTGGGTGGAGTGCCTTATCTACCTAAAATCACAATCTGATAAATTAATTCATACACATTTATAAGTGGTTTAAGCTAACAGACTGAATTTTGGATGCAGGCAGCTGAGAAGCAGGGATATATTTGCTTTTTCGGGGAGACTAATTCTAGCAGAAGTATCCAGTATAGGCTTGAGACAGTAATATCTTAACCCAGTACAACTAGATGCTATAGACCATGTCATCCTGTAGCTTGGTTTTTGCTCTTACCCCTTTTTCCAGAAGCCATCTAACATGAGTTTATTATGCCTAGGTTTTGATGTACAGCTGTAATGACTCTAAGTTCTCTTTGCCACATACAAAGCTAGGAGATAGGACATCAGGGAAGAAGATAGGGAATCTGGGAATACCCAATGAGTTTTTCAGTTATTAGATTTTTTCGTATAGTTTTCTGCTATGGTATGTAACCTTACACAATCTTAAGTGGTACTGGTTTATGCTGTATATTTTTAAAATTTATAAGGTAGTCCTATAATTTGGTATAAACACTTTAATTCTAAATTATTGTATTAATAAATTGTACTTGAATGAAATGGAAATACATAACATTTAAAGCAAATCATGTATTTGCTGTGGGGCAGTAATGAATCTGTAAGTGGAACGAAATCTTTGAGGTTCCTGAAATTGCTCATGCCTGAATAAATTCAACGGGTACAGTTTTTTAACAATTAAATGTAGCAAAACAATCCTCCAGTTGGGCTTGTATAGTACATTAAATGTTGGTCATATTGATGGCTTATATAATATTTCTTCATACAGCTAAAAGTGTTTCATCCTTATTTGTTAGAACAGTTAAAGCAATTTATTAAACTATGCTCTCAACCTTTTTATTAGCTTTTCAGAACAATTAACTCAGCAGCAACATTATGGAAAAGGTCAGGGTCACATTATACTAATATACTAAATGCTGTATGCACAGAGTAAAAGGCAACTGTGGCCCTGACAACTTCTGCCCTGACAACTTCATAATAAAAATAAGAAGAAATAAGATGAGCATATTGATGTGTTGGGAAAGCAGATACAGAAAGAGATGTCACTTTGTCTTCCTAGACAGTCTCATATGTCTTTATGTGTATCCTAACATGGTACACTATGATAACATTGGATAATCCAGAAATTAATGAAATTAATTAGTTAACTCAAAGGGTTATTCAGATGATATCTGCACAAAACCTAAGGCTCTTGTTCAGCAAATTAGGGAACAGAATCATAGCTTGTAATTATGCATCTAAACAACATTAATTTTGAATACTTACCAGTAAAATACCATAAATTGTTATTCACCAATACATATAGAAAAATTGATATTATCTTAGCATAGAACCATAACATATGAAAGGCTAAATAGACCATAAGAAAGGCTACATTGGGTCCAACATCCTGTCACTGGGAATGTCAAAAATGCCTGCCTGGAAATCTGATAATGTAATATTGATCTTTCAAAATTAAGAAAAATCATTAACTTCTAAATAGAAGGAAAAGTATTTAGATTTTTTTTTCCCCAAATCTAGCAGTTTATTTTTATTCCTAGTTAAGTGTAATACCTGAACACTTAAACCACATGAAAGATAGGATAAGCAGTGTTGGAAGTGAGGAGGGCCATATGCCATTGAGGACCTGGAATCAAATCACATAAATTAACCACCCCAGCAAATAACATAGAATTCATTAGGCCTAAATAGAAATAAGGTCAATGTGGAGCTGTATGAGCAATGACCTGGCTCAGATGACAACCCTAACCAAAGATATTGAGCAGGGCTAATTGTGACTGCTAAGTTTCAAAACATTTTTTGCAGCAGATAGTCTACATGAGAAGATCTGTACACAAAAATTGTGGACACACAACCCTCCAGTTTTAGGAGATGAATGTAAAAATTCTTTCTACCATTTTGAGTTCATTTTCATTTCTTAAAATTACTGCACTTGCATGTACTCCTGTCTCAAAAGAAAGAAATTCATCTATTTATCAGTGTACAGAGACATTTATTTTCTCACCTCCTAGCAACAAAACAGGTGGAACAAATGACAGAAGACCAAGCTAAGAAGACGGAGAAAGCAAAGCAGTACAGAACAGATGTCTATACTTATGCTGTATACACAATAAATTAATATAATAGAATTCCAAGCAAATCTTTGCCTCTCATTTGAACTGTCCTTCAGATGAAAACGTGTTGTTTACAATAGATAAAGTATTTCTCTGTGAAACAACTTGAGGTTTATGATGCAAGAGCACTAGCACCATGGTAAGAAAGCTGGAATAGGTTGAAATGGAAAGCACAAACTAGGCTAGAGAATGATGTACAGTCAGAACCTAAAAACTGCCAATATACTCAGTGCCACTGAAGTTACACTAGCTTGTATGGAGTCTTGTTTGCAACAGATTGCTAAGGCACAATGCTGATTTGGGGAGAAAAGTATAAAATGAAGGAGACATTAATGTGAGTTCAATTTTAAGACAGTGTCTTGCTCTCCCAGTGAGAGCATATGTTTTTAATATATATTTCATAGTTTATTTTTAATCTGTAAAATATGCTGTCTTTACACTGAAGTTTATTTTCATGCTGGGTATCTTGTTGATGTGAGTGAATCAATGAATATTCTATTAAAAATACAGAGAATTCTGTGTCTTGTTATCTCTCTAATACATTAAGAGTGGCTAAAGATAAAAAAAGAACTCTCTCACTGTAGAATCACAGGACAAATACATTGTATTAATGACAATTATTAATAACAATTAATGACAATAATTAATGTAATGGCAGAAACAATAGTGTTATCTCTTGTAAGTGAAAAGACTTCAGTTACAGACTACAGAAAACCAGTAAGATTTTCTTCCTAATATGCTTATAAATCCCAGCAAGTTCCTTTAGAAACTTATCCATTGTAGCAAGAAAATAAGCCTTTCCTTTGATAAAAAGAATTACATCCTGACATGCAATCCACTTGAAAGGTACAGTGATATGAATTCACTAAAATACTATTTTCTGTTAGATTAATTTACATAGCAACATAATAATTTCAATCTGCTCTCAGATTGTCCTTTTGAGCAATGATCTTGTAACTCTTGTGTTTGTGATTCACCTAATTGTTCTTTATGGATACAAGCAACATGGGAAACCACCTTTTCATATAATGGGCAAAATCTTAGCACCATTGTCAGTGAATGCCTGTTTCTGTACAGCCAATTATTTGAAGAACACTCTAGACTGAGGTACAGAAATGAACATTTGAGGGATTTTTTCAAGGACTGAAATACGTCTCTGTTACGCTTTTGGTGCTAGAACTGAATAAAATATGAGTAAGGTATGATATTTCCACACTCCTGTCTCCAAAACTGCTCAAAGTAAGTAAATTAAATTCTTTCACATTAACACTGTTTAAAACTCAATTCCATTTGAGAAGCAAATTAATTGCTCCTTCCTGAAGTGGATTGACTTACAATAAAATCCCAGTAATGTGTATCAGGAGCTCACTACTGTTGTAGATAATAAAGCACTTACTGTTATAATGCTAGCATCTGCTAATATCTATCCCATAATGTTTTCCTACACTTAGAAGAGAAAAAAAAATTTTGAGAGAGTTGTCAGGCAAGTGAAAAAGTTCCATCTCTGTCAATATATATTTCATAGATACCCTGGCTGATGTTGCTATGATCTGAGTCTTTGAATTAGAAGTAATATTTATTACAAAACCTAATTAACCACTACATTATTTTAGCATATTATAGTGATTATACATATTAATAATATTGTCAGCAGTTGATAAACTATCCTAATGTATTCAGAATTTTAAATCGCTTGGAAGGTTGAACCTTAATGAAGTTACTGAAAGTATGGATATTTTGTCATAAAATATTTCTTAAAATGTTATCTTTCACCAACAGTGTGCTTCCATCTGACTGTTAAACCCTATCCAGCTATAACAGACATTTAAGAGCATATATTTCTTTTTCAAACATTCCTTCATAATGTCCTCTTGTCTTTCCAGAAAGAATGAAAATTGTGGGATTGGGCCTCCAATGTCACTATAAGCAAGAATGGTGGTCTTCCATTTGTCACTGTTGACCTTTCTGTTGATTGAATCTGTATACTTTATAAATAAAGAGTGTAAAAAAAATCTATAATAATATTTTTTCTCTATTTTTACAGGTCTCATTGGTTAGTTTAATAGCCAATGCTTTGGGCTATTCTGAACTTGGTGCCATTAAATCGCTTCGGACATTAAGAGCTTTAAGACCGTTAAGAGCCTTGTCACGATTTGAAGGAATGAGGGTGAGATAAAATGAATTAGTCTGAATGAATGTATGCATACAAAAATTAATGTAAAAGTGTGACACTCATGCTGTCTGCAAAGAACTCCAGAATGGGAATGCATGCAAAAATATGTGGAAAAAAGGCCTTCTAACATGTTCTTATAGACAGTTTACATTTGTAGTTTAGACCTTGAGCTCATTAAATTTGCCTTCTCACTGCTGCATAGTTCTGTTATTCCAGCCCCCTGACTGTTAAAATTTCCATTGATTTGTGGACCTATATAGAAAAGTAAAAGGACATGAGAAATTTTAGAACACTGGGGTTTTTTTTCTCCCCTTTAGCTGGGGACTTCTTTATTTTATAAGTTTCTGTAGCTAACTTCTATTCATTGTTAGTTTGTCAGTGGTTCAGGATCAAACAGGATTAGCCAGAAAACAAAACAAAAGAAAACAAAACAAAAAAAGGTGAAGAAGCTGACAGCAGTAACACACCAGAAAATAAAGCCTCCCTGTGGCTCCCTGTCTATCTGCCTGGAGAAAAAAAATCCCACAATAAATGCTGTAGTATTAGGGAAGTGTTCTCCCAAAAGATACCTGAAATAAGGATGAGGTTGGAAGTATAGAAGGGGAGAGATGGGAAATAATTTTCTCAGCTAGTGTCCTTTACTTCATATGAATGCATCTGCTGCCATCTTACCTCTCCTCCCACACAGCTAAATCCTTCCTGTTGAGGAAATTATTATTTTCATATACTGCCACCCTGACAAAAAAAAAAAACCAAAAACTATTACAAGCTGTCTGCTGAAAATGCAGACTATGCTATTTCCTGGAAAAACTGATGCATAAAAAATTAACAAGGTAATATTATTGAGAAATCTCTTTTTAATCTTTCACCTCAAAACACCCAGATGCTGCAATACATGTTTATAGTTTGGTCATAGGTCTTAAGTTTCCAAATAAATAGTGTGGTTCCTCTCTGGGTTGAGGCTGCTGATATTCTACAGGTGGCCATGCTAGCCAGCGCAGGCGAGTGTGATCTGTGGCAAATCACCATCAGCACTATATTTGACAAGATTTGCATTGCAAACAACACATAAGTCCCTATCTAATAAATGGGCAAAACCTCTATTGATCTTAGACTACTTTCAGTCAAAATAGTGAATAGAAAAATACTACTATTTTCAAAACCATACACAAAAAACTACTGCAGTGTCTACTGATTTGGTAGAAAATTTTGTCTGAATATCTCCAGCTTTTTTTTTAGTTCAATCACAATAAGTAAAAGAAAATTTTTGTCAAGGGATTTCATCTGATCTTTTACTACCACTTGCCTATATAGAGTAGCTCAGTTGCCTTAAATGCAGCCAATAAAAAAACGCCTTAACGGATAAGCGTAAGAGCAACTATAGCGAGTCAGGCAATTTAAACCCAAGACTGATAGCAGATGCTGTTAATAAAAACTAAGTAAGATGTGCTTAATTATATTATGTTGTAGGTAGAAGCTAAAATACACTGGTGCCAATATATACATAAGGTTTCTGAGAATAAAATAATTAGTTTTATTATCATCATAGTTTTACATGCAGACATTTTTATTCAGTCTTCTGCATCATCATTCTTTGATCTTTTTCTGGTTTATTTTCTATTTATAGATTTTGATTTGCAGTGTGGGAATTTAACGTTTATTTCTCTCTTTTCTCTAGACCACACAAATTCTAAGATTCCATCTTGCTACTAACAGGTTTTCTTTTGCTTTTGGATTTTTTTTCAGACTTTTGCATTGTCTTGGTTTCCATATAATTTTATTTCTTGCTTTTTGCAATCTCATTAGTGTTTTAATTGAACCTTAAATAATGTTTCCCTCTTAAATTTTTAATGTAATATTTTAACTGTCCATTCCATATTAATACTGTTTTAACATTTTTAAAGTATTTTTATTTTTCTTTTCATAAACTAAGTGGCTATTTTGTCTAATTTGTACACCAGGTGGTTGTAAATGCCCTTGTAGGAGCAATTCCATCTATCATGAATGTATTGCTGGTTTGTCTTATATTCTGGCTCATCTTCAGCATCATGGGAGTAAATCTGTTTGCTGGCAAATTCTATCACTGTGTCAACACCACAACTGATGAGATGTTTGATGTCAGTGATGTCAACAATTATACTCAGTGTGAGGAACTCATAAAAAACAATCAAAGTGCCCGATGGAAAAATGTGAAAGTAAACTTTGATAATGTAGGAGCTGGATATCTTGCTCTGCTTCAAGTAGTAAGTAAATTTATATATTTTCTTTTTGCTCTTTTTAAAGAAGTCTAGGGAAAATGGGCAAGTTAAGACTGTTAAGCAGTGGAGTAGTTTCTTCATAGCAATGATGTACAGCTTACACAACTCTATTGCATTGTTACCTGTAATTTTTGTATTAATGATAGAGTAGGTTTCAATTCCAAGGCTAGGGAATACAGTCACAACATGATGGAAATAACCTGAAAATAAGTGGAAAAGGTAGAAGAAAAGGTACAATAATCATTTTAGTGGTGCACAACATAAACTTCAGGAATGCATTTCATGAGTCTTGCCATGATGGACAAGGCTCAGAGGTCCCTCTAATCTCTCCTCTCCTTTATGAGCTCAGTTATCTTGTAAGGCAGGAGGGCAGACAGCAGCTTAAAAGAGGGCAGACATCCTAACCTACAGTCTGGTCTGAAGTGAGCAACTACCGCCAATACCTCCCACATAATCTGTTCCTAGGTATCATTCCACATCCACAGCAATGTCTTTCACAGTCAAAATCCATTAATCTAGGCACTTTTAGCACTGTGAAATAATTTTTCTTTTGTCAACAGCCTGGTCAAGGTAGAGTGGATTTTTCTTCATGTCTATATTAATTTAAGGAATCAGTTTGTAAGTTAGAACATAAAAATAAAAATATATCAACCTGGTGTCTCCACTGCAGACATTTGTTTAATAGGGGCTTGATTTTCCAGATCTGGAAGTGGGTTTAGGGAAAGGAATCATAAATAATGCAAGGGCTGAGGTAGGGGCAGCCAATGTTTCATGTAGCATGGAGCCAATTCTTTATTACCATAATACTTGTGTAAGAGTTCTGAAATCCTCTGAGAGAAGTAGGAGTTGCCATGGGAAGAATATGGATAGTAACTGAGAGACAGATCCTAATTGAGTGTTAGGTCTGATTTATCAGGTAACACTTTCTCTTGGTGTTTGCAGATAAAGAGCACTTGCTACTAAAATAAATATATTTCATTAAGAAGTACATGAAACTACAAAGACATTATATTGTGGGAAAAACAGGAAAATGTAAAATACTTTTATCACAAAAACCCTCATGATTTATAACTATCATATTTTTAAAGTCATTATGATATACTAAATAAAAGTTACTTACAGTATTACACTTATGAAGTATTAGATGTTATTGTCTTGCATGGCATATTTATTATATTAATTACTGCTACTTATACAAAGTCTGTAAATTGTATTTCCCCTTCAAGTCCTTTTCCTATGCAGTGTGATACAGAAACATCTTTGCTCTAGGTACTGAGCATACCTTTTACTTATGCCAGAGGAATAAACACCTTAGCTCTTTACAGGCTCCTTGGCTTAGAATGGAGTTTCTGATAGCTGATACCTGACCCAAAACACAAGCAAGAAAGCAAGCAGTTATGCTTAGATGATTGAGCTCTGTATAATCACTTTTCTATAACCTGACATACAGCTTCACTGTATGAAAAGGTGTCAGAAATGTCATGGGATTGTTACTGGTATCTGGTAACACCAAGTTATCTAAGAACAAGTTGCTTGTCCCTTCTATCCTGGAGCAGGCCAGTATCCCTAGCTGACCTTTATTTCCAAATTAACTACCTGGCTTAAAATGTTTTGCCTCTAAAGGCAATGTGACTCTCATGTGCTGAGTTGTGGTAGTACTGAATGATGATTGTAATTCTCTGACTTCAGATCTCATTGCTATCCTTGTACTAGAGATTAAAGTGAACAATTTTATTACCAATACTTGTCTCTGAAGATGTATAAGGAAAAATTCTAGTCTCTTGAAGCTGTGTCTGAATGTCATCTGTGTCACCCATCCAGACAGTGTTGGTCTTTAATTACTACATCACTACTGTGGACCTTTCGTTCTTCTCTATTTCTTTTTGTTCTGATTTTTCATTTTCCTTTTCAAATATTCCCTTCCACCCTTCACTTTTCCTGCAGAGATTAAAGGATCCTCGAGCATGTATCATGCCACCTCTTCAGCTGATTGTCTCCATTAACATTCTCTCTCCTCTCTTCTGTATTTATTGCTCTTATCAGACTCTGCTCCTCTTCTAATGGTGCTATGCAAAGTGCACCAAATAGCTGTCAATTGTCAACTGAGCCAGAAAGATCTATGAAGCCTGGCTCCAAGCATACCTTCTTTGTAAATTTGTATTGCACTGCAAGATTCAAGAGGATATGAACACTCCTGGAGTGCAAGTTTTCTGCTGTGAAAACTAGCAGCTCTACCGAAGTACCAGAGCTCGCTTCTGGCAAGCACAGATGCAAATATACTCCTTGGGATTGTTCTTCTCCTGAATCTCCTCAAGAGAGATGCTCTTTATCTGTTCATTTCTGTCCTGGTTTCAGCTGGTATAGTGCTGTGGTTTGGATCTAGTATGAGAATAATGATGATAACACACTGATGCTTTAGTTGTTGCTAAGTAGTGCTTACACTAGTCAAGGACTTTTTAGCTTCTCATGCCCTGCCAGCAAGAAGCTGGGAGGGGGCATGGCCAGGATAGCTGACCCAAACTGGCCAAAGGGATATTCCATACCATATGACATCATGGTCAGTATATAAACTGGGGGGGGAGAGGGGAGAGTTGGCCAGGGGAGAGCTGCTGCTTTGGAACTGGCTAGGCATTGGTCAGTGGGTGGTGAGCAATTTTGTTGTGCATCACTTATTTTGTATATCCTTTTATCACCATCACCATCATTTATTTTTATTTTTATTTTTATTTTTATTTTTATTTTTATTTTTATTTTTATTTTTATTATTAATTATTATTATTATCTTCCCTTCCTTTTCAGTCCTATTAAACTGTCTTTATCTCAACCCATGAATTTAACTTTTTTTTTTTCTTTTTTTCTCGTGGTTCTCTCCCCCATGCCCCTGGGGGATGGGGAGTGAGTGAACAGCTGTGTGGTGTTTAGCTGCCTGCCAGGTTAAACCACAACAATTTCACAGGCTTTTTAGCTCTTTTTTTTCTCTATTGTGAATAAGCTTGGAATATACAGCTAGTGAGCAGGCACTCATACCTTCAACTATCGTGTCACACCAACCCTTTGGTGTTCCTCAGGAAGCAGCCATTCCATGTCCATGAAAATCACCTCCTTAGAGCAATCATGACAGATCTTTTTTACTCTTTATTCTACCTGGACAAAGTCTCTATAGGAACTCAGCCCAAAGTTTTATAAAACTTAATCACAGCTTTTTCACAGTTCACTTCTTGGTCTTCTGTAAATCTTATTCCTCAAGAAACTATGTGTATTTTGATTATAAACAGCCTATTTCTTTTAGTTATGCGGGATTAAAACCTTTCTAAAAATAGCATGGTAGTTTAGCCATAGCAAAAACGTTCAGATGCATGTTGGTATCTGTCCAGAAGTTGTATTGCTGACTTCATCAATTCATGCTGTAACCTTGATAAAACGGCTGTCACCGTGAGTGATTCTAGGAGATTCTCCCTGAACATGTCCAGCATTAATGTCTGAGTCTACCATTCTTCATCTGCAAAGTAAGCATCTGCAGCGCCAAACATTCTTGCTGAGACCTTCAGAGCCTGATTTTTAATATTTTTTTAATACTTGAAAAATAATTTATAAAACTCCCTGGAATTACTGTGAAAAATATTTCATTATGCCTGTTACTAGATGTGGTTTATAAATTTAGATACGATTTTATTAAAAGTTAAGGTCCAAATGCTGTGACCTAGTTATTTTCCACATTATGAATTTTTATAGGGAAGATAAAATAACTGTATTTTATTTCTAGGCTACTTTCAAAGGATGGATGGATATTATGTATGCTGCTGTTGATTCACGAGATGTAAGTGTAATACTTTCAAAGATCACCCATTGTTTATATCCTGATATAGAGTATAGAATTTAAAGAGCTACACATACAATAATATTAAGAATTGTAATCAGCACTAATACATATATTTTCCAGATACATTTAGTCTAGAAAGGAACTTTTATGTAACTTCATGAATCTTAAAATTTGTAGTGGAAAGAATTAATGCCACTTCCTTCTGTTTAGCCAAATAAATTAACTTAACTAGACTTTTTGTGGAAAAGCTAATGTTAGTGAAAAAACAAAGAAGAGGTTTTTTAACCACTTCCTTTGGTAAATATGAGTATAAATTAATTTAAGACTATACAATGTAATTATTACATATTGAATATATTAATCTTGTTTTATAGTTTGTAACTGCATTTCATTGTTTCTTTAGGTTGAGCACCTATGCTATCTAGCTATTTAAGTTCAACTAGATTTTAAGGCTGAAGATGATCTGTTAAGTTTTCTAGGAATTAGAATTTTATCTTGGCTACAAAACTAAAACTATGTTTACCTTGTACAAAAAAGTGCAACACAGATGCCTGAACTGGTTCTATACAACCTAGATTATAGTCACATTAGTGATATCTCTCATCACACAGTGGTATTTGTCTCCCAGAATAATACATCTTGTTTCATTAACTTCAGCATTTCTACACTCTAGCGCATTGTGCAGGCATTGAGACACGGAATACAGAGGAACCAAGACATTAGAAATTTGCCTCAATGTAATGGATTTCACAAAACATATACTCACTAGAAATGTATTGAAAGCATCTGTTCTTAGCTGAATATACATTCATGTAAGACCAAAAGAATTCCAGGGAGATTTAGGCAATAGCAAAATTGATTGATTCTGTTGCATGAAAATATACTGAACACAATATAAAATATTTAGATTTGGGCTGTTAAAATTGTAAGTACTAATGACTGCTGTCAGTCCCACATTGCTTGTTCATTCTATATGAGGACCTTTGTGTATACGTACACACACAAACATATCTGTGTGCACATTTACTTTAAAATTCCATATGAGTAATCATTCTGTCAGCTTCCAGTTCTCTGAATATTGATTAGAAAAGACATGTTGGGTCTTTTTATTTACTGAGTGTTTTTCTAGCTGAGATAGCATATACCTACTCATAAATTATATACATTGTTTTTACATCTAGTATTCCTATGGGTAATAAAATTTATAATGTTTTGTAGGTAGAAGATCAACCTAAGTATGAGGACAACTTGTATATGTATCTTTATTTTGTCATCTTTATCATATTTGGATCATTCTTTACCTTGAACCTTTTCATTGGTGTCATTATAGACAACTTTAACCAGCAAAAAAAGAAGATAAGTATTTAAAATGTTTCCATAGTGCTATAAATTATTAGCTATAATGAATTAATTATTTACGTAAAGCTAATAAAAATCAAAAGTTATTTCAAGTCCTTGAATAAAAGAGTCTCTTTTTTTAATATAATCTGTATTAAATCTGTGGTTGTGATATGACCTTTGCATTTCAGCATTTTGACAAGCAAGGAGGGACAAATCATGAGTTGGTTCATAATAATTTGCGAATTGTGTAAGAGCTAAAATGCATTATTCTTTTGATTAGATGTAATACTATCTGCCATGGAAGAGTTTATTTTTAATTGACTTTAAAGAATTAAGAAGTTAATTTTAATTAATCTTATAAACTGTTGACACTTAATGATGATACAATATGGCACTGTGTTCATACAAAATAACAGTTCTGCAAACTGGTTAATCAGTAAGTTAAGAGTAAGTCCAACAGACCTCACAAGAATAGGCTTAAAGATACAAGTAAAACTGTGTACAAAAGAGCTCTATTTTTCTAACACTTTTGTGAGAAATGAGATGAACTTATTAGACACAAACATAATCTATAATTTATTAGCAATAATAAAGCAAAGGTATAAAAGGAAGATTTTTTTCTGTATACATTTGACATACAAGTATGTTTAAAATTATATTGATAATGCTCATAAGTTATTTAAAATAACTTTAAAAATGCAAATAATGACTTTTAAAATATTTTGAAGCCTCATGATTCTTAGCCTTCAACTGCCAAAAAGAACTAGAACCTCGGGATCATTCTAAATCTTTGTATGCTGTGAAAAAACATTCTCATACAATTTGATTTTATCCAATCACCGAATAAAAAGCAGCAGTACCAAACAGAATCTATGGTAAAAGTTAATTCTGAACTACGGAAATTTTCCTTGACAAAATACTCTTTAGCTTCTTAAAAGAGCCATAAACACATCTGGGGCTACTTCCTCAGTTTCTATCAATTATGCCATATTTTGGGCTTCGATATCCAGTTTAGCAGTGACTTCGACATTGTATTTCCATCTGACGTACTTCCGACTTATCAATAAGCACAATTTACTTTATATTGAAATTCAGTCAGTCAGTAGCACATCTGACTGGTAGCATTTGCATCTGTAAACAAAGGCTAATTTGAGTTAGTCAAGGTACCAGTGGTGTTTTAATTAATAATTTGTTATGGCCTGATTTGGATTGCTTTTCTTAAGTTTATATCAAAGGTTATTTTTTTTTGCTGCCATTAAAACTCTCAGATTAGACCCAAATACTCTCCCTTGACACAACTTGTCCCTCAGAGTTACCCCACTTTTAGACCCGGCTAGCTGTAGTCCTAAAAGTCTATCTAGAATTTAGGACATGTAAGGCACCAGTTAGGCTCCTATGTACGAAACATATCCTACCTAATCAGCAAGTTATTTAACAGCATCAGTATAGTAAGAACCATTTTAGCCATATCAGCAGAAGTGAGCATGAAGACACTGGAAAAACTCAACCATCAGCTTGACAAGGCACCAGTAGGGGGGATTTTTGTGTGTTAGGAATACCTATGAGCATCCACACTATAAATACCTGAAAAGATCACTTTCATTATATAAATCAAATATAAATGTAATATTATATTACAGAGAGACATACTGTAGTTAAGTGTTGTATGTGTGGACATGATAATAATTAGTTTTGATATTATTTCTTTACTTTGGAGGTCAGGATATATTTATGACAGAAGAACAGAAGAAATATTACAATGCAATGAAAAAACTGGGATCCAAAAAGCCACAGAAACCTATACCGAGGCCAGTGGTAAGTGTGATTTGATTTTAATACCCCTAATATTAAATACTCATTTGGGAATATTATTTTAGACAATGAGAGAAGGTTATATGTCTGGAAAGAAATTGTATTTTCCATTTATTTTCTTGTAAAGGTAGAATTTGTCCCCCCCTTTTTTTTAATTCAGCAGACTAGATTGCGCATGTTTCATTTAAAAACATACACTTTGTAGTATGAACTGTAAGATTGAATAAGGTTAATGTGATAAACTTTGTAATTCCCTGCCTACATCCTAGAAAAGTACAGATGATTGGATCATTTATTGGTTCTTGTTACCCACAGATAAACTTCTTTTCCTATTTTTTTTCCTCACAGAGAATTTGTAGGAAATAGGGATGCACTGGCCCTTGCTGCTGAAGACAGAAGGGGGCAGTGGTCACCTAATGTGAAAGAGGAAGACAGACACAGATAAACTTACAGAATAAAAGAATGCCCTAGGGACTGAGACATAAACTAGGATAAATTTGTCTCTAAGATAAGAAACTACTCTGTTATTTACTGAACTCCTACAGTGTTTGGAAAAAATAAAATACTTGTTGCACCTTATGTACTGAGTAGTTAAAAATAGTCTTTCTAAGGAGAGACATATGGCAATAAACATTTAGCTAAGTACTAAAGTAAAACTAGGATATTGCAGTCGTGGTGTGTTTGAGACATGCAACTTCAGCGGTCCAACAATCTCATGAAGCACAATTAGTTTAAGGAAGAGGGAGATATCAGCTAAGAATAAAGATAAGAAAATGAGTTCCTATTTGGCTGGTATCACATTATACCACCTTTTTTACAGCAATAATATCAGTTGTCAATGTTATTACTATTTTTATTGCACTGTTTCCCTTCCTGCCCCTTCAGCCAAGAGTGGTACGCTCTTGATCCGCTCTAACAGGATGAGGCAAAAAACCAGGATGGGCTTGGCACATATGAACAGATGTATTGTGAATGGGTCTTGCTCTGCACTCCTAAATCTCGTAGGGACTTGCTTTCCCATTTGGCATTTGTAAAGACAAATATTTTCAGAGTATAAACTGTATTCCATCTTTGTTTCTGCAGAACAAATTCCAAGGCATGGTCTTTGATTTTGTAACCAAACAAGTATTTGACATCAGCATCATGATACTCATCTGCCTTAACATGGTCACAATGATGGTAGAAACAGATGACCAGAGTAAAGAAATGGAAACAATTTTATCCCGGATTAACCTTGTGTTCATTATCCTTTTCACCGGAGAATGTGTCCTGAAATTGATTTCACTTCGCCATTACTACTTCACTATAGGCTGGAATATTTTTGATTTTGTGGTTGTCATTCTCTCCATAGTAGGTAAGAGCAATTCGTTTTCAAGAATGAACTAATGGAAGGAAAAGGGAACATTTGTTTCAAGAATGTTATGATAATGAATATGAAATTTTCTGTTTCTTATATGACTTACATGTTGATTCAGATCTTCATACTTTATAGCATACAATATATGAAATGTTTCATATAAGATTTTTGTCTCTCCCATTACATTCACTGTCATCTTCCACATCAAAATACGTAAAGGAAATATTTGGCACATTCAGTAACATGTACAAGTGTAAAAAGGAATGGTTAGTGGTATGTGCAAATTAACCACAAATTTGCTTTCAGTACTAGAAATGAAAGGTATGTGAAGGGGGTGACATTTTTAATTGCTTTTGTAACTGAGGTCTTGGTGAATATTTAGATTTCTGTCAACAAAAAGCTAATGGCTCTCCAAGGTGCAAATTAGTTGTGTGACAAAACTTAACTCTTAAAGAGTGATACACCTGAGAGAGGCTGTGCTGATACAGTGTAGATCCTCAGGTAAAAAAAAAAATCATTAATTTGCAGAAATGAAGCCAATATTGTCCTTCATAAAAGACAGTGGTAATAGGCTTAGCTTCAAGAACTAATTATATCTAAGACAGAGGCTTTAGGAATAACTGAAATCTTAGACAGACACTAGCTACCTTGCCACAAGCAGTCTTCTTTCTTTTACTTATTTCCCTTCTCCTAGGTAGCATTTCAACATAAGGAAGGTGCTTCCACCTTAATAACAGTTTTCAATAAAATGTAATAACTTGTATGATGTTTTGCCATAACATATACTCTCTATACTGATTGTTTTGGAAATAGCAATAAATAAATCTTTCTACAAGTAATGATTGAATAAATTTAAAATTATATTTTAAATATTCACTGTTTTTTCTCTAGGTATGTTCTTAGCTGAGATGATTGAGAAATATTTTGTATCCCCCACACTATTCAGAGTCATCCGACTCGCCAGAATCGGTCGAATCCTGCGTCTCATTAAAGGCGCTAAGGGAATCCGCACTCTGCTTTTTGCTTTGATGATGTCTCTTCCTGCTTTGTTCAACATTGGTCTGCTGCTGTTCCTCGTCATGTTTATCTATGCGATATTTGGCATGTCCAACTTTGCCTACGTTAAGAGGGAAGCCGGTATAGATGACATGTTCAACTTTGAAACGTTTGGCAACAGCATGATCTGCCTATTTGTGATTCTGGAGAACTTCAGTGTTGCTACTGAAGAAAGTGCTGAACCCTTGAGTGAGGATGACTTTGAGATGTTCTATGAAGTCTGGGAGAAGTTTGATCCCGATGCTACACAGTTCATAGAATACAGTAAACTATCGGATTTTGCAGCTTCATTAGATCCTCCTCTTCTTATAGCAAAGCCAAACAAAGTCCAGCTTATTGCAATGGATCTGCCCATGGTAAGCGGTGACAGAATTCACTGCCTTGACATCTTGTTTGCTTTCACAAAGCGTGTTTTGGGGGAAAGTGGGGAGATGGATGCCCTCCGAATACAGATGGAAGATCGGTTTATGGCAGCCAATCCTTCAAAAGTCTCCTACGAACCAATTACAACCACATTAAAACGAAAACAGGAGGAAGTATCTGCTGTCATTATTCAGCGTGCTTACAGGCATTACCTTTTAAGGCAAAAAGTTAAAAAGGTGTCTAGTATATTTAACAGAAATAAAAACAAAGAAGGCGATGGACCAGTAATAAAAGAGAGAATTATTGATAAACTAAATGGGAACTCCACTCCAGAAAAAACAGATGAGAGTTCCTCTACAACTTCCCCACCTTCTTATGACAGTGTAACAAAGCCAGACAAAGAAAAATTTGAAAAAGATAAAGCAGAAAAGAACTACAAAGGTAAAAATGTCAGGGAAAATAAAAAATAAAGATCTAAGAATTCTGCTTGCGGGACAACTTGTTTACAGTCTTTGGGAATGAAGCATCAACTGGACTCCTACAGGAGGTTTATGCCAAACTGACAGTTTTTACACATATATATGTGTGTGTGTGTGTGCGCGCGCGCGTGTGTGCATATATATACATTATATATATACTTAAGGTCAGTGCCTATAACAAAACAGTGAACCTTCATCATCAAACTGTGACTCTGTGAATCAGAGTAACAAACTTGACAAGAGGTTACTGTTTTCACTACAGCTGACACTGCAAAGAATGAGGGAAAAAGTGGCTCCACAGAGAACATGGAGCATGAAATGAGTGCAAAGCGATAGTTTTTTTTGTTTCACATACTGCAAAACACGTAGAACAGTAATTCTCTTCACTGTTTTAATGCGACTGCCACATTTGTCATATTTTTACAAAATCAATATTAGTGTATTTATCATTTTTTAATTCACAAGATGTTTACTATCATATGTGACTATTTTGTAATAGGTTTTATGTTGGGGAAAGAGGTATGAGGACCAGGTGTTCTACTCTCAGATTCAGATAGAAGTGATTTGCATAGGCATGCTGCACTTGTCAATCATGCATAAATAAAAATATGACATTGCACAAAGCTAAAAATTTTAAGAACTTCCATGTTTCAGGGTTGCTCTTAAATTCAAGACTACTTGTATGGCTGCATCCAGATTATGTGCATCCAGATTAATGTGCCTGGAAAGTCTCCTCTAATTTACAGGAATCTGCAATGACTTATTTTTATGCAAATCATTAAACATGAACAAGTTCTTGGTTTTGTTAAAACATTCACAGCTTAAAAATATTGTGCATTTTCTGCACTGGAAAAATAGCTTCACCAAAATATAGGAGGGAGTTCTTTTGTTTTCTTTTTTTTTAAACAGCTCAAATTTTTTCCTAGACTGTGGTTTAGTTACTGTCTTTTCTCATTATGGCCAACATCCAGTGAATCAATAAAATACCCTTTTCCATGTAAATATTAACGGCATACTGTCATGCATATTTGAGCATAGAATTATATGGCTTGGCCACATTGAATTGCATCAGATATGTACCACAGTACGGGTAATCTGCAAGAGCTCAACAGGACATGCTGTTTTCTGTGTCATTATAGATAGTTTGGAGAGTATCACTGATGCATGTCAATGCTTTTGCTGCTGTATCTTGCTCCTTCCACTGTCCATAGTCTCCACTAGAGGAAGCCATGTGTCAGTGGTGAAGTGAATCAAATTGTCCAACCAGACCTCATTCTTTCAAATCATTAAGCAATAGTTTGCAGCTATTTATGAGCTTCTTTAGTTTTGCATTTTAAATCCAAAGTGGCTACTATATGGTGTAGAATCAGACTGTACAGGCCATATTGCAAACTGTTTAACCTGTTGGAAATGTGGTTAGCATATATAAATAATGTAAAGAAATACCATTTGGCAACAGTTTTGTATATAAGAAAAGTGTCTTCAAGTTTAGATCACTGTTTCTTATATTTCTTTCCTCATTCACTTGGCTTACTTTCTAACCACGATAATTTCAAACTGGCATCATCACACTATGAGAAAAAAAAGTGAGTACTTGTAGACTATCTTGTTTTAATATTATATTTGCATATATTTCAATGTGAAGTAAATTGTGTAAATCTGGAACCCAGCTTGTTTCCAAATAGTTATATCTGGTAACAGGACATAGCAAGGGAAGTATTAGGGGAATGTGCGAATTTCTAGCGCTGTTTGCATCAGAAGTTCCGAGATAGTCTCATTGTCCATGAAATCCTTGCTATCTTGCAGTGTCTGTTTACATAGCCTATTCTTATTCTTTTTGAATCACGCTGCACTAGACTTATACAAATAGGATCCACAATATGTCCCAAGAACAAAATGGCACATTTGTATAATCAAGGACATCAGGACATTTTGTGTTTCATACACAAGCTAACATTAAATGTAGATTCTTTTACAAATGCTTTTGACTTGTAATGTGTTGGTGAAATGCATGCAGGAAATTGTTATTATCATAAACAACGTGAACAATATTACAAATGAGCCAAAAAATAAAGATTTCATTTTTTATTGTATTTATTTTTCTTTGTCCTTCTGTTGGTGAAAGCAAGATAAAAATGGGCTTTGGTGCAAATAAAGAATGCTTGCTTTATTGCTATACCTTATTCTCCACATTTTAACTTTTTTTATGTAAAAAAATTTTTTTAAAATCTGAGAACTTTGACCACACCCCATTGTTTTCTACTTTTTTGTCACCAGCATACTGTCTAGGCATAACACAGGACATCTACACATTCTGCTCCGACAGCCTTTCTGTCAACAGTCAAGATCCCTTCCGAACCATAAAGGCACTGCTCAGTTTCTAAGGTATTGTTTTAGTTTGCTGCTACCAAAGCTGCCCACATTTTGCAATTCTTAAATATGCAAACAAACTCTCCAACAAAGTTCCTCTGTTTGGTGCTGTATAACATTCAGCCAAAAGGGCTCATCGCAAACAGATAGAAGTTGTTTTTTAAGTACAGTGATTCTTTTTATTCCAGTAATTCTCAAACGGAAAAAATATTTTTTTGATCTCACAAGAAAGGAACCACACTGAAAATCAGCTGTGTTAAGTAGTGTTCATAGTCACAATATCTGCATGTTACACAGTAACTTCTGACTCAAAATGGATGTTTTCCTGCTGTTCAAGGGCAGAAATACATAGTACACTGAAACACAATATTATCTTACTGAATTTAAAAAATCATAAAATTAACAGTAAGTAGAATATTCCTGGAGTTTGCTCACTGGCATGTTTTCAGTGTTTTCTTCATCTGCAGATATTATGCCATACTAGCCATATTTTGGCCAAATATTAAATTGTCTAGCCTGCTCACACCATTAGTTCCTGGAGCTAGTCCCTGGCCCTCTTAGAATAAGGGGTCAAAGTGCAAGACAGGGCCTTCCACAGTTGTCTGGGCATCCTTACAAGTACCTGGGTATCCTTACAAATTAGAGAAACCTCTAATCACATTGTGTTAATGTCGAGATGTAAATCCTTAAAGTCAAAGTTTTGTACATTATTTATTCGACCACTCCTCTATCTTATCTAACCTCATAAACGATTCAATTTACTTTCAGAGACTTTTGGAGCTCTTCTGCTTCTTTGGTCCCTGATTTCACATCTGACAATTGTGTTTTACTCATACCTATTCATATTACTTGTTCAAAACAGCACCTAAAATCTGCAGAATTTCTGCAGAAATCTGTGAACAGGCTGGAAAGTGTTCTGATGAGGAATGACAGTTCATCACTCATTTTCAGGAACCTGAAGTCTCTTACAGTACTCTGTAAAAGCAAGATTACTCTACCCAGCTTTGTTTA